ACAGACAGGATTTTAGGTATTTTGCCAGTTCACTTAAATAATGTAAGGCAAGTGAATTTAGATCGTCCTGTATACGATAAAGCTGTCCATCACTCAAAAGAGCTCAGATTTTATTCTCCACTAGTGAAGACCACATACTGTGGACAAAGAATGGTTTGTGAAGATGAATGAAACTGAATTTCTGAGTAAATTACAGTTATCAATCTTACAGTAATCAATCTGAGAGAAGATGAAAATGTTGACCATCTTTTCAGCAACAGTTAGTGACAACATAGCATTATAGTCTAGCATGTCTAGAATTATGTTTTTACCATATGTTGCACAAGTGGGTCACATATCAAGTTGGATCAAATATCACCCAAAAGTTCTTCATTTTAGAGTTTGAAATTCAAGTACAGTCCCATTCACAGATAGGGTTACTATTGACATATTCAAGATTAATGTTATGGTACAGTTTGTGTTATTTATGACTCAAAAGCTTTTTTTATCTGTTTATGACCTTGCTCCAGTGACAGAACTGCATCCAAAGTATTGCCAAGTAGAAGTGCATTGCTTTCCTGAATAAGACTCCTACAAAACTTCTATCAAATATATGATTGATCTTAGCAACACAATCTGTCACATGCAAAACCGTTTTTTGACTTTTTACAGTAAGTGGTGACCCATTCACTTTTGTTAGTATTCTGGTCGGACACAATTAAAGCTGAAGCACACAAAAGCCTACCTTAGCAAGGAGAAAAACATTATGCTTTTCTATACCTCTTTCTTTTTATTTATGCTCAAATAAACACAACATTCCTGCTGGACACATTCCTCTGCAGTTCACAGGGTTCATTTACAGTCTCCAACAGATCCTTTACTGCTCTAAAATATTTGCATCATCACCATCCCTACAGTACCTCAGACACACAAGTTAATGAGGCAGCAAGGAACTTAGTATTAAAAATAATAATTGCTTACACATATATAGTGCTTTTCTGGACACTCCACTCAAAGCACTTTACAGGTAATGGGGACTCCCCTCCACCACTACCAATGTGCAGCATCCACCTGGATGATGTGACGGCAGCCATAGTGCGCCAGAACGCTCACCACACATCAGCTAAGTGTACAGTTATACAGTAAGTAGTAAAATAATCAACATTGAATGTGAAGACAAGAGTGAGATATTTACACCCAGGATGCAGATAGAAAAAGAGAAACTTTGATTGCAAAATCTTGGGCTCAACTCCAAAACGCTTTTCCAGATCTTCATTTGACAGTTTGTTGTCCTGTGGGGGTGGTTTTAACCTCTAGGTTCCACACAAAATATAAGATAAACATTACTTGGCTAGTGTGGAGCCTACGTGCAATTTAACTTTGCATTAAATTGTTAGTTCCACTTCAGTTCAGCTAAAATTTACTCCTCAGAGCGGCAACAATCATTTTCAAGGCTTGTTAGAATTTGACCAGGTGAATACATTTAACTTTTGTTAAGGATTAATTTCTCCTTTGCATTCTAATTCCTTTGGCACTCTACAGTTCAATGCCAGCAACAGCAGTATAGCGTAATAAAGATATACAGTACACTCATTACCTAATGCTCCCTACTGATTTTCTTCACTGGCAAAGCCATTAAGCAGTGACCTATTTTTCTTCAAACAACCGGTGACGATGCTTGTGATGTTTATTTGGATTATAAACCACAAATTACTCTGTGCTTTCTCAGGACAGCAGTATGGGACATTTAGCTCTCAAGGGATGTAACTCAAAGAAATAGGATTAAACTGTGTCCACCATGGGACCGTGTGTATTCCCTGTTCCGTATAAAAACAAGTCATGGTAGAGTGCTTTCATGCAATAGTTGCATTTTTCAAGTAAAGCTTAAAAGCTGTGTATGTCAGCGTTTGAAATGAGGAGATCTTCCCGAGCTAGTTGTAGCCATCGCTGAGGCATGTACATCGAAAAGACAAGCATCCTCGGGTGTACCTAGCAGCAGGTGAAACAGCAGAGCACGGCACATACAATATAGTACCTGGGTCAAGTCCCAATGTCAGGTCGTCCAAGACAACTTCTTTTCTGTCTTACAAATGGCTCACGTGCAAGTGCAAAGACACTCCTTCATTCTGAAGATTGCAGGTACGACAGGCCATTGCCGCAGGTTTCCAATCATTAGCCAGATGAATGGCAGCAGCTCCAGTTATGAACTACAGTAGGTGTTTTTCTAGGACTTTGTCTATCAGGAGGAGCTGTGTCAATTTCAAAATCTGTTGTTCCCATTCGGCTGCATGTTTCTTAATAGACCAGCAATCAGGTAACATGATAGCACTGTAGGACATACAGTAAGTGCAGAACTTGGCCTTTCATGTCAAAACGGGGAAGGAGTGGCTCAGAAACACTATTAGAAGTGAAACAATCCTTCTTTGCTATTCAACTTATCTTCCTGTCTTGTTAATAAAGCAGCTCAGACAGCATTCCCATGTGCAGAAAGCCGTGGCTCCATCCACTTACGTTAATGTATTGCTATTGTTGGGTGGCTGTGAAGTCATCTGGCTGCTAAAAGCTAGAAGAATACTATTACTTAACTCGCAGATCAGCAGTTGAAAGGAGCATTACAAAAAATTAGATTTTAATAAATACACAGCAGGTTATTTCATAGCTGAGAGAAGTAAAGGTGATTTAATCTCCAAACTGCATTAAAAATGCAACCTAATGAGTCCCGTGTTTCTTCACACCCTGCATATGATGGAGAACAAAGATTTTTACCATAGTGAGTAGCGAATACAAACTGTCACAGGAAGAAACACTTATTTTAGATTTCACACAAGTACAAAGGATTGTACATGGTGTTCATTCCAGGTTTTTGACAAGAATGCATTGTAAATGTAGAAAGTTAAAAAATCACAGCAGATGTGAATTGCTGGGGGTTAAGGTCTTGAGCACTTTCAATACCCATCAGTGCTGTTGGGGATGTTCTGTGACCACTCACTGTGAACTAAGGTAATTTTACAGATAAAGTGCAAGAGCAGGTAATGACCGTGAAACCAGGTGCAGAATTAATACATATTTCAGAGCAGTCTGAAAGCCAAGAGGCTTAAAAAGGGTCAACAGCATGTCTGCACATCAGTCCCTTTTGCAAGACGTATCATTGCTTCCACTGTTACTTTCATTAATCAGACAAGAAAACGTAAATCTCTGTAAATCTTTTTTTTTCTGTATACCAGCCCCATCTCTCATTGTGAAAGGTAATTGGTAAAAGATTTTTCCAAATGGTGGAAAACACAATGGAGGGAAATAATGTGTGTTACTGTACTTGCTATCACTATAAATTAATTAAAAATACACTTGAGGAATAGGGGTGTTTCAGAGATGCTTTTAAAAAACAATGCAGTTCTATACAGCAATAAACATATTAATAAATACTTATTTTCTCCAGCACAAATCCATAATATAGCCAAAAGATAATTGATTTGCCAGTAATAGCAACAGTATGATACAATATACTTTATTAATCCTCAAGGGGGAAATTAAGTTGCCAGCACAGCTCATAGACATGCAGTAAATAACCATAAAAAAACACTACACAGACATAACAATTACTGCAAAAACAGACACACAACACAGTACATTGCCACAACTAATCAAACCATACAATACACTACAATTACTTTTAAAACAAGAATAGTAAAATAGTAAACATCAATAGACAAAAAATATATATATATTTTAGTGCATGGAGAGCCATGGGTTAAAAAGATCTAATCCTCTCTGTGGTGCATTTGGGAGCTAAAAAGCGACACTGAAGAGGCTTTTTGATCAAAAATCCCTGCGTGGACAGGATGCCACACATTCCCCACTGTAAGTGTGGCCTTCCTCGGGATCAACTTTGTATTATTTGCTTCACAGATTCCAGGTGTGGCCCAACAATGGAGCCCTCCCTCTTAATAAACCTGCTAAATTGGACAAAGTCTCTCTTCTGTAAGTTATTTCCTCAACACACAGATGCATAAAAGAATATGCCGTAGATAACAGGGGTGCAGTTATCAAGAGAAAATAACACTTAGCACATCAATGTGAAACATACTGTGCCTGTGGTAGTACAATTAGGACAGTAATACAACACCAGTGCTAAACTGACAACACAGGGATAGGAAGAGGTTCTGCATCCCTGCTTTTCAATTCTTCTGAGGCAGTAATGCGATCAAATGGGGTTGATGCAGTTACCTGAGGCGCTTAATTGTGACTAACTCAAGTTTGAAACTATTATTGCAATCTCAACCAATGCTGCAGTGACTCCATCCATGATTGGAAAGTAACACTTGCCTCAGGCTTAATATTCTGAAGCCTGACTAACATGCGGGATTCATAAACTCTTTTCATTGCTAGTTTTAAAGCTGCTTCCATCGTGACCCCATGTCCAAGGGACTGGGACGTTGCATTACCACAATATGAAGTACTGAAACTGTACAGTAAAAAGCTGTGATATGAAACTGCAAACACAATATCAGTATAGATAGCTGAAAACATGCTGGGAAATACAGAGGACTGAAAACTATTACATGAGGGGTTACAAAATCAGTTTTCTTTTTACCAAAAGTTATTAATGCATGAACATGCCTTTTTACCTGACTAAAGAAGGATCGTTCCCCTTATTAACAAGCCTATGGCACGGTATTAGCCTATTTAAGGGGTAGGGGACCAACTATCCCAATTTAATGTCACAGTGATAATGCTGCAATCCTAAAACATATCAGTTCTTGAGCACCACCTCAGATTCTCAAAAGCAAAGCCAAGAGCTGTGTATCTAAGAAGAAGTTAGAACTAATAAGAAGTTAGAACTGCTCCATTTCATTTTAAGATTGACAAGCAAAATGCAATAATCTTCCACTGATAATTTACCAGTTCTATTCATACCTTCAATTATCGCAGCCTTTTATTAACAGCAGTGGTAGCAGTTGATGTTACAATAGTATTTGAACTTGTTGCATTGGCATTAATCGACTGGCAAAGCCTGGACTCACCCAGTTCTGTGTCATACACTTCCACCGCACTGACAAAGTGGGGTCGAGAGTAGAAGTTGTGGGGTCCAGGCTGCTGAAGCCCCCCAAGGCTGAAGAAACATTTGTCAGTCATAGCACAGCTGGCAAAGGCTCTCCTACTCGGGATACAAGGAAACCGGGTCCAGCTTTTCACTTCCAGGTCAAAGGCCTCAAACGCCGTAATAGGAAGTTTACCTTGTCTTCCACCTATCGGCAGAGAGAGAGAGAGACAGAGAGGTGATTGAAATACGTTGCAAGAACCCCAGTTCTTCTGCTGCTTGATAATGTGTAAAATAAGAAAGGAAACAATAATGGCTTACAGTACATAACACTCCGTTTTATTTTCAATGTAATAGCACAGCATCTCAAATAAAAAATTAATTATTGCACATACCAAAGGATTCGTAGACATTATGAATGGCATGTGAAAGCCATCTTCGTGTTATTTAGCCCACGCAGAACACAGACCAAAACATAAGCCCCCATCTCAGTCTTGCATCTTCATATCATCACACACTTAATCCTATCACTGTAATTATTTGCTTCCCTCTACTGTAACACAGAATGAGAGACTGCAAACACTCATCTGACATGACAACCATCTTACTGCATGAAAGAATATAGAATTTAAACTCAGTGTGAGGGAAATATCACTGCTCATATTCAATGGTAACTGATGCCATTCTATAATGTGTTAAGAGCACAGATATTATGACATGAAAGCCAGTGTAATCCCTGTGCATAAACATTTTCTGGTTTATGTTCCTATACAAGTAATTCATAATGTGAAAACAATATAAATAAAAAACTTGATGCAATGCAATGATTGACAAAATAAAATGAATTGAATTCAGCAGTTTCAAAGAATATTTAAAGGGTCCTGAAGATGGTATGAGTTCCTTGGATAGGCAAAACATGAAATGGCTTCGTCTCATTTCTTAACTTTGCTTTGTTCTTACAGTATGTCTTATGTAACTGCAACAGCTAGTTATATCATACTGAATCAGCCACAGAAATCAGTTTCTGTAAAAACCATTGCAACAAAAAAGGTCTTCTTGACTATAAAGCACTGTTTTGCTCCTCAATATAAACAACATTTTTAATGCCCCTGACACTCAGCATAATCTTCTTCCATGGCCAAAACACAGTCTTGCCCAGTGTTATCTCCATGTAGCTCGACATGTCTTGAGTTACAGTGGATAGCCTGTTTTGGAACTGCATCCAAGCACTCCACAAAAGCCCTCTAACACTGCGCAAAGTTTATATTAAGAAATAAAAGCATTTATTCAACAACATTTCAACTCTCCAATCCAAAGATTAATTAAATAAAGTTTAATACACTGCTGAAACTGTACCCTGTGTATCTGGTTTACAAATCACATTAGAAGGATATATCACTTTTTGCTTTTGAAAGAATACCTCTCTCCAAACTCTACAATACTCTACAAGCATCATCATCATCAATTGAAAAGTGTAATTTAGATTCCTATGTGGATGTTACAAAGCAGGCTAGATGGGCCTCTGTTTGTAACAGTTCAAATGTTCTTAAGCACACAACATTAAATTTACCTGGCAAGTGGTATATTTACTGGTACGTTATGAGTTATACAGAGAACTGCACACTACTGCAGTTTTTAATATTATCACAAAGAAACAAAGACCTTATTTAAGAAGAATGTGAATCCCTACCCGGGAAAGAATTGTGCTTGAAAATTGCAGCTTTAGTTAGATACTCCCAGGCTTTGCTGAACCCTATGTAAATACCCCATACCCCATTAATAAAATGCCAGGCTTAATTAAGTAACATTTTAGCTATCCACACTCCTCACACCACAACCGCCTACCAACTGCAAACAGTGGGCCCTCAATTCCTCATTTCCCAAATAAGGATGATGAAATAGTTCCAGCAAACATGCTGCATGGAGTCAGGCAGTGTGAAAAAAAATGTCACATTTATAGCATGCCTTCAAATCCACTAATTCTGCCAGAAAAAGGAATGCTGGAGGCCACATTTACTACCTTACGATTTTGATCCTCTGCCAGGGTTAGTACCACTTGTTTTCCAGGAGGAGATGAAAAAAACAAACAAACGAAAGCTACAAAACAAGGAATAAAAAATTGCTTGCAAGCTTCATAAATTATGTATACTAGACTCTAACGGTTTGAGGACAATAGGGTATCACAAATAACGCAGTTGATAAGAGTTCTGGATCTTGACAAAGATCCCGAGTTTACATAGTTTACACGTTTTATATTCATGATTTTAATATTCTATTTAAAATAAACTGGCACATCAAAGATTGTAGGTCTTTATGAGGAAATATTCCTCACACGTACAAGCATTTTGAACAATAAAAACAATATTTTTGCATTTTTAATATACTTAGGGTTAAACTAATATATCAAGCAGATAATTAAAATAGCGCCTCTCTCATTTACATTGTACAACAACAAATAGCATACTTAAGGGGATTAGAAAAAACCTCCATATAATTATGCCTTTGTTCAAAGCTACATCTGTGGGAAAACTAGCAATCCAAAACTATCATCACAGAGTCCCAAGACAACTCTAGTATTATGATAGTCCTTGTATTTTTTGATTTTGTCAAGCACAGTACAGCAAAGCAAAGTAATATGCAGATTAAGTTACAGCATTTTGAAGCAAATTATCTTTAAAGCCACAAAGGAGTCACTCCAATATTCCAGCCTAAAACTACATTTGTTGTTGTTTTCACTGATGATGCTCTTGTTAGATAAAATTATTCAGTAACAAAAATATTGAAAAGCAAAAAAAAAAGAGCCCTTCTAGTGCATGTCTTTTCTTCTGGATTTTACAGAGCAAGATTATGAAGTATATATAATATCTTCGCCTTTATTATTGCCTATTTTATTTTTAGAGCCATCTCTTCCTTTGGTTAAAGCACAAAATAAAAGGATGCTTGACTGTTATACCAGGTCATAATTTCACAAAGCAATCATGTCCCCGAGAAAGCACATCCAACTAGATACATAATTGGTAACAAACATCCCCAGGGCGTTTTTCAAGGCATTTAAAGCAAAGACTTTTTTTAAAGTCAAAGTATTGCCAAACAAATTGTTTTACTGTTCTTCAGTTGAAATCACTACAACGCTCATTTCAGCACAGGCAGCTTGATAAGATTGCTTTCTGTTTGTGCAGAGTACTGAAAAATTATCCAAGGTGAAAGAGATGTACACAGGCACTCATCAACTGTAAATTTGGCTGCTTTCCTTTTTTACTGCTAAAGACAATAACAGCATAAGCCAGATATGAGGGCATTTCACTGAACTAACGCACACGCAGTCAGTATGAAATTATGGCAACTGGTTTCAATAGGTAGAACACTGAACACCACTGTCTTTGTTATAACTCACATGAGCATGCCACCTGTGGTGATGCTAAGTATTAGTTTAAATATGGCTCACCCTCAGAAAGCATTGTTGAGCACAAAGGTGCACAGTGGGGTTCAATGTCTGCACAAAACCAGATGGAAATCATTCCGGGATCATGGAAAGGCTGTGGAAACCAAGTCACGGACATACAAAAGGAGCAACGTCATTGAGATCAGCCTGTAAAAGGAATTATTGGGGCAAAATTAAAATCTTTTTAAGATCAAAGGTCAATTTCTGTTCTCTAGCTTCGAAAGAGGGGTCAGAGGCCAGAATAAATACAAGTTTAATTACTATAGAATTATTGGAAATGAATACTACACAGGAAATGTTTAATGACATTTGGTGCCTGTTTGCCTGCAGGAGAAGATTTTCTTTTTCTTTTTCCCCAACAGAGCAGAAAAGGGGTTCATGGAGTAGCCTGTAAGTTTCACAGTCAGGGCTCTCCAGATGTTGTCTTGTCTTTCTATTTCTCTTTCTTGCTCTTGGCACAGGTGAGTTTATCAACCCCAACTGATCTGAACAAAGTCCACCAATCAATCAGTCAGTCTGTCTCTGACAGCAACGCTATGATGCATTAGGGACATTACTGCATATGTGCTTCTCATCAAATTAAGTGACAAACACACATTAGGCGTCGACCACTCAAACAATTCGATTGGAACATGGTAGACGACATTATTAGAAAAAGACAAAACTATTTAACACTCTCATGGACATAGCTACCTGTAAATGCCTGTAAACAACAATCAGAAACTTAATAAGAAGGAACAATCCAAAGTGATGATGCGACGGCTGCCATAGTGAGCCAGAACACTCACCATACATCAGGTATTAGTGGGAAGGAGAATAGATTGATGAAGCCAATTCATAGATGGGGATTATTAGGAGGCCGTGATTGGTAAAGGCCAATGGGAAATTTGGCCAGGATTCCGGGGTTACACCCCTACTCTTTTCAAGAAACTCCCTAGGATTTTTAATGACCACAGAGAGTCAGGACTCATCCGGAGGACGGCACCTGTTTACAGTATAGTGTCCCCTTCACTATACTGGGGTATTAGGGGCTCACACAGACCGCAGGGTGAGCACTCCCTGCTGGCCCCACTAACACCTCTTCCAGCAGTAACCTTAGCTTTTTCCCAGGAGGTCTCGAACCAGGTACTGACCAGGCTCACACCTGCTTAGCTTCAGTGGGTTGCCAGTTGTGAGTTGCAGAGTGATGTGGCTGCTATGCTGTTACGATCTTCTCTAACAGAACTCTCACCTTCTGATACAGAAGGAAGACTGTAACCTGAATCCCACTTTGAATTACAGTACTTTCATACTGATTAATCTCTTTCCAGCTCCTAGTGATTCTTTAACAATGAGGCCTAGGAGGATTTTTTCATATTCATCACACATTCTCCAGTATTGATTTTTTAGATAAGCTGCTTCCCTTGGGTAACACCTGTTCTTACCAGAGTATCGCAATTTCACATCATGCACATCTCTGAGTCTGGAATTAGCATTTTTGGACCCTGTAGCATCTCATCCTGGCTGGCATGTCAATTCACCGGTACTTTTCAAATTAAAATTTTCACAATTCAATAGATCCCGTTTTTTTTTAATCCTAATACAAATACCACCTAGTGTCTGTTCTGCAGAAGACTTCGAAAGCCACAAAAAGTGGGAACAGACATTCTCTTATGCTGTCCAATAACAGAATGAACAACTATATTCTACAACTAGACAGCTGTACAGAAAAGCTCTATACAAAGAATGTCTATGCGACAAGATCAGCTCTTCCCCTGCCACAAACTGATCACAGCTGCTTCTGCTTCAGACGCATACAGTATCCCTCCTAGACAAAGATGAATTCTCCTACATTCAAACGCTATCTCTCACACAGTCATAGAATTCAATCCTATCCTCCAGGACTGCAAGGGTGTGTTTTCACCTTACTGTACATGGCAGTACAGCTTTATTATTTTTGATTTATTGTCTGTCAAGATAATGGAGACAAAGTCGGTAAACCTCTGACTGGTAAACTCCTGACTGGCAAAATACCCATGCTTCATTGTACAGGTTAAAGTGTAGCAAGTGATTTTTCAAAAAAACAAATGACCAGTCTGAAGAAATTTCATGAACCTGTTCATCATTTTGAAATTCCTGGTGATCTTTCATTAATGGACAACTTTTTCTCAAAACTTAAGATTTCTACAATGAGGCACAGCAAAACCAACTCGGAGGAGACCTTCACTTTGCATAAAATATCAAGCTACTGCAGCGGTACACAGCATTTCTGGGTATATTAAGTTTCCCCTTTCACCTTCCAACAGTTGTCATGTCTGTTGTCAGAACCTATTTCCATTTTGAACATATTTTGAGTAGTTCACTTATTTTTTGTGCAGTCTTTTTTTGTGTGTGCTCTCATTTTGGTTTATGTCATGTCATTGTTTTGTTTGTGCTATCAGTTTTGTTTGTGCTGGGTTATTTTTTTGTTTGCCTGTGCTATCAGTTTTGTTTTTGTGTTTTGCACTTCTGGGCCACTGTAGGTTAGTATACTGTACTTGTCTTTGACATTAACCTTTCCACACATATTAAAGACACAGCATGAAATTAAAATGGTTACAAACCTGGTAAGAGAAAACATAATGCCTCACACTCTCCTAGTTATTATTAAAATCATGGTTGGATACCAACTCAGATCAAGCAGTTTTAATGGCCTTCACCAATACTGGGAGTAAAAATTGTTTTTTTGATATATGATATATTGCTGTGGATATGTGCCTTCTGGCTCCTGCATTATTTCACTATCATCTTTGTGTCTTAAAAATACCGCTGGATTGGAAATGAAAATCAGTTAAGAAGTGAGGCAGTTTCATGCAATTATCCACAACAATGCAATTCAGCCTTCCGGATACTGTGGTACCAGCTGCATCAGAATATTTCCATAAATTAAATTATTGCTATTGCTCTGCATATTCATTCTTCGTGTCCTGCTAATCCAATTCTATTGCTACTGTATAATGCACTGCAGGTTTGGTAACATTCAGGGCAATAATCTCTGAAGGAATGTGTTCAATTCCTAACATCTGTCACTAATGCAGGAAAACTCCAGTTAATGCAGAGGAAAGAAGTTTCTTTGTCACTCCTTCTGGAGAATTGCACTGTCTTCTCAATTTACTACTAAACAGATGCACAACTATAGTTTGCATTGCACAGTTATATACAGTACAACTCATACACACAATTGTACAGTATATTGTAGTAGTTCAGGTGGGTAGCTGCGTCAGCATGCGTAGGCTGCAAAGGAACAAGTAATAGGTTTATTCCATGCTGAAAAAAAGAAGATGGAATCTTCAGCATGGAATAAACCTATTACTTGTTGTATATTGTATATATACAGTACACTATAGTGGAATATACTAATATATAGTAGGGTGAAAACCAATACCACCATATTGCACACACTTAATTGAATTCAGCAAAATTATGCGGACGTGCATAATTTTTGTGAAATGATCCTAATTATCTTAAGTATATGCTGAAAAAAAGGAAGTGGTCAATATTTCAACAAACATCTTGGGAAGGTTTTCTGTGTCTGAACTATGCATTTTAAGTATATAAAAACATAACACATGGAATACATGTCTTCATTACAAAATGGCAATAAACAATACTTATACAGTATATCACAGCACATCTCATCCCAGAGCACTTCACATATGGGAGGGCCCCCACTTCTTCTACCACTGAAATGCAACCCACCCCCTATCTGGGTGATTCCTGGAAGGCAATATCCAGTATACCAGCAACCCTGCTAAGCAACAGATCGGACTTTGGAGAAATGTGAAATTGCTTCGGAAATTGAAATGAAGATGAATGTCAAGTAAGGCCAGATTGTTGACGCCCAGGAATTTAGCCAGATCACCAAGGTTATCAGCCCTGCTCTTACGAACAACGCTAAGGGATCTTTAATGACCCAGTACTCAGAAGCTCAGTTTAAAGTGTCACCGAAAGGACCAACTATAGCACACAGCTTCAAGTCCCGGCCATGACACTCTCCCTGGCAGCTTCCTGCTTAGACAATTGTAATTCTCTTGCCCCCCCCCGCCCTGTCAAAGCTCTCTGCCCACTCCAGCTCATTAAGATTATGTCTGCTTAACCAGTCATTTTCTCCTCCTCGCTGACCGCACGCCAATCCATTACTGAAGTCTGTCCACTGTCTTCCTTTTGCTGCACACGTCTAATTCGAAGCCCTTGTTCTCACCTAGGGCCGTCTCAGCCTTTCTGCTCCTGCCTGCCTGCAGTCACGTCTCTCTCCCTTTACCCCCTCTCCTGCTCTTGTCTTAGTTTAGCCGTGATGCCCTCCGCGCTCTCACTCCCACCGCCTGTTCTTCCTCCAGACTCTCCTCCGGCGATGGAGCCGACAGAACTCGGCACTGCTCTGCTCCCAGTGCTCTCAGGCCTGATCATTTTAGACAAGACTTTCAGCATTCAGTCTTCAGTTACTCTAATACACTATTACATTGATATTATTTACAGCAAATGTAGAATCAGTAACTAATGTGCATCTACATTACTCCTTTGTAGTAATATATTTGTAAATATGCTGAGAAGAAAACAGAGAAAACACAACGTTTTCGGCTTCTTCCAAGCCAGAATATTTCTGCTTCGGCAGAGATTGAGCAGCTCTTTTTTAACTTCGGCAATGTTACGGAAGTATCTCAAAGCTCACTCTATTCAGGAGTTAAAACTGAGGCAGTTACTTCGGTTTCAAGAGTTTCTTGATTTTGTCACAGTCTGTGCTGACTTGAGATGTAGTGAGATCCTAATAAAACTTTCTGTGTACTTTCCTAGCCTGCTCAGAGTGAGACTGTATAACAATTATTTTTAACAATAGGCAGATTGCTCTGGGGGCATTACCAATGAAAAAAGTGAAGTAAGGAAAATTATGCTCATTTACAAATTTTGTACCACTAGAATATTGCTGAAGGAATATGCGAGATTCAGACAACTGGATTTCTGATATACAATATAAGCAGAGGCTTTCTTTAGAACTATGAATACATACTGCAATATTCATTTTTCTCATGGTGATTGCAAATGAAAATCTGCAAATACAGACTGGAGGTGGAAGGAACTCCATTTTTTAGAGTTTGATATTTTAATCCTGTAGCCACTCTGCATACGATAGGTCTAAAACTAAAACTAACAGTATAAAACTAAAAATGAGCACTGTATTGATTCTTTCGCGTTACGTGTGAACTGTGATCTACTAACTTTCATTCATTCTAAGAACTGAGACAAAAACAGGTTGGCATTAAACACTTTTTTATCTATATTAGCTTTAAAAGAAAAAAGCTGTTTTATTTTGAACAACAAAATTGTCTCATTCCAGGACCTACCCAGCACATAGATCTTGTTCCCCCGCAGGAATGACGAGGCACCATATCTTGGTGTTGGCATGGAAGGCAGAGGCTGCCACTGGTCCTTGGCAATGTCGTAGACTCGTACCAGAGCTTGGGGTGAGGTGTCCGAGCCCATCCCTCCCAGGGCATACACCTTCCCCTCTGGAAAACAGAAACACACCCAGTATTAGTCCACAGGGAGCACACCTAGGCCTGACCAACCTCGGCAACCATCCCTGAATACCAGGGGATAAACACGTTGTGCCCAGGATTTCAAAACTCTACCAAGTCCCCATGGCCTCATTCGCAGTGTGACAGTGCGGAGTGGGAGGTGCTGCGGCGAGCTCTGGTAAAAAGTCAATGCCCCGGGCGAGGGGACAGAAGCACCGGTGTGGGGTTAGCAGGGACCAAAAACAATCCAAAAGAGTGAAAAATGCAACCAAAAGGCAAAAAGAAAGTATACCTCTGTGCCTCGCTACCTCCAGGTTGGGCTTACCCTATTTAGCGGAGTCCAGTCTGGTGAGCAGGGCGCATAAGGCAAGAAGATAAAAAGTGTGTGTGCCTGCCCTGGTGAAAGTGCATGATGGGACAGGCAAAAACGGAAAAGGAAAACCTTACGCGATTTCAATTCGTGACAGCTGGGACTACAAAGACGAGGCGTCGCCCATCTACCGGGGCTCCGCCTCCACACTGGGCACGCCCCCGCGTAATGCCACAGCAGGGGTAAATCACTATCATGTTCCAAATAAACCTTGGTTTTTGCCATACAGTACACCGACTGAAGCAATAGGAGGTGAATGATATTTTCAACTAATTTATGGAAACAAGACTATTTAGATTTGGAAAAACAATTCTAGCACCAAATTGTTTTGAGGATTGACAAAAATATTTCTGTTAAGCTTGGAGCGTGACATGATTTCACTGCCACTTCCTGTTTTCCCTTCATTAAATGCTTAGCGGGTTTTTACTCCTAAGAATACCAATAAATCTTTGAGACAATATATGGAAATTTCTGAAATGGGAAATTAAGTGACCTTTCTATTTCCAGCTTCAGGGTTTATTTTAATTCTTCCTCCCTGCAGAGATCGGCCCGTTTCCCATGTACATTTGTAGAAAAACCAGCCTCAAACTCAAACATAAGCTTTCAATATGGATTTAATATTGCACAGACTATCTCTCTGGAAGCAGTGCAAATTACCTTTCTTTGAACACAATCTAAGAGTGAACTAGGTGAATAACTGAAGGGTTGAGGATACAAACTCAAAATAAAAACAAATGTGCAACCAGAAAGCACTTTAATGTTTAGTCCCATTTATCTGCCAATGTAAGTAAGGCAAAAACAGTTTAATAGAAAAACAAAAGGATTACTGCTTAATTACAGTCAAGAAAGTTAGTTCTATAATGGCATTAATTCAGCAGCATGCAAACGTGAGCCAAAAACCCTCCGACGACAAACAAGAAAAAACAAATTAAATTAGACTTTCTCAGACTCAAGCCAATGACATTATTTAATTGCAGGTTTTTGTGAAAGAGCAATCAAAGCTAATATTGAAATTCTATAATAGTTCACATTTACACAGAAAATACTGGATCCTTTAGGTTCAATAAAAAAGAGACTTATTTATTAAGAGCTAAACAGAATTTTAGGTGTGGGTTATAGCCTGAAATGTTGGTGTGGGTTATGGTTGGGACTCCAGTATGAGGCCTAGTGACAGAGGAGTTACCAGTTAAAGCTGGTGAGGGTGAATGAAGCACAGGTTAGATGCTGAGTTATGGCACACCAAAGCCAACGGGTTTACTGTATGTCAATATCATTTGTATAAACATTTGGTTTGGGTTATAGGCAGGAGGAAGGTCAAAGGAGAGTAAGGGTTAAAGACAGGATAAAGACAGAGCTTAAATCTAAACAATCTTAAAAAATGTCTTATATATAACTTAAAACCTAATCCTTTAAGTGCCCTAGCCATTTCTACCCTAACGCAAGCACTTACTGAATACAAAACCTAGGTCAGATTGATATATTGTTATTCTAAGGATTTTACACCTTCACAAATAAATCCAAAGATGTAAACTGAATTGCCAGCTGAATCTCTAATTGGTACTTTATGGCATTTGCAGTTTATTTATGCCATCGCTTGGAACCAAGTTGCTAAAGGTAGAGGTCACAATTGTCACTCACGACACTAAATTATCCTTCACTGAGTCATTTGTAAGGTTATAGAAATGTTGCCAATACAGAGAGGTTTACATTGTGGGAAACGAAAGGCTCAGTGTCTTGGTTTTGCTATTGTATCTGCAGAAAACAAGTCACGGACCTACCGCGCTCCTGTACAGTATAGCTCCTTTTGTTGCCCGTCGACACCTTAACATGCGCCATCCGTCTCTGCCACTTCTGCTAAGCCAATGTTGTAACTGCAGTTTATTAGGCAGCTACTTAACGGCTGTCAGAGAGCCATCGGTCAGACTTGGGGAATCTGAGCTGGCAGGTTACTGTAACAGCCATGAGAAAATTGCAAACTGTAAAATATACTGTAACCCTTTTCAAATGATTCAGAAACAAGTCTCCGGGCAATCCACACCAATGCTACATATGTGTTCATTGTCTCACCTTCCATTTCAGTCCTTTTCCAAAAATACATTGGTCTTATTTACTTTTTCTGAGATTTCAACTCCTGCTTTTTCATTTTGCTAGGCTTTAGGATAACGAGACTGCTGCCTGATCCTGGAGAGAGAGGGGTCTTCTGGTTTATTTACCACAGGAGCACCTCCTGGCTTAAATGATCATTGTTCACAAGTCTTTTGCTATTCATCGTGCTCATACAAGGTTGGCGGAAAGTGATAAAAAATGGCTTTGTAGCTCTCTTTGAACGCACGTGCTTTTGTGAAATGCAATGATGCACTATATAAAATGTAAAACTGTGTAGAAAAGTTCAAAATGGACAATGAACTCAATGACAACATCAAGCCAGCAGCCGCTGTGTTACACTGTAATACCCCTTCTTCAATACTGGCCTATACAGTATAACAAATAAACAAATACTGTATGAATCATACTATGATGTACAGTTTGTTTTTCCAATGTACTAGAATCTCTGGAAAATAAGCTAACATCAGATGTGTCACTATTCTCTCTAAAGCCATAATAAGCAAATACTTATTCCAAATCAACGGCCTATTCTTAATAGGTGCTTGGAGGAATGAGGATGAAGAGAATATATGCATGTAATTGCTCAAACTGTTCATAGGATCTCCTGCCTACACATTACAATTGCTCATTTATGATAATTCAATGGTGGAATGATCATGCTCAAAAGTAGCTTACAAAAAAACACCGTAGTCCTACAATAAAACAAAAATGAGAGCAATTTGAACTACTGGATTAGGCTCAGTAGTCTTCACAATTGTCATAATTTGTCTTCTCTCTGCAATATTTTTCTTATAGCAATTAAGAGTAAATCTGGATCTTATTATATCTGAGTGTACCCTGCAAGCTTACAGAAAATTAAGATACTCTAGGTTAACATTCAGAATATCACATTGTGATATACAGTAGGTAGGTACAGTGAGACAAGCTCTGTGGATTAGCCAATTAATGTGATGTTTCAAGGCAAACTCACTGCCACGATGCCACTTTATAGAGACCCTGCAGTGACAATGTAGGCACATTGTCAATAGTTTTATGAGATTATATTTCATGGCTTCTTGTAAATTTTAAACCACTGTTAAAAATGAATTTTAATTACTATTTTCCTACTTAGTCTAAAGCACCTAGGGAGCAGCTCTTAGGTCATAAGTTTTGTTTCCTCCCTGAGATCACTTTCTACAGTATGTGGTGTTTACCCTTTTTTATATGGGTTTTCTCCAGGAGCTCCCAATTTCAATTTCCCACCCAGCAAAGACACCAAATATGTGATCTGGGGTTTCTGCCCATGGGTATCTGTGTGATCTGCAATGGACCAGTGCCTCTTTCAAACGTATGGTCCCACTTTGCTGCCTTTTCTTCCTAGATAGGCACCAGGATGCTGCAACGCTTACTAGGATTGAAATGAGTGGCTTCATGGATCTGGGTGAAGAGGCCTTCAGCTTCAATCTGTTGTAATTCATGATCACTTTATGACGCAACAGGGGACTATCTACAAGTATTTGGTTTACTGCAATTGTGATTAACTAGAATATTTACCTAGCCTAGTCCTGAAGAACTGACTTACCTGTATCAACCATTTATCTGATGTAAATTTAGTGACAGCACTCAAATGAATGAAGTGAATCCCAGTCTACTGGAGAAGAACACCCCAAATTCAGGCATAGAAAACGGTTCTCCAGATGAAACCTAAGTGTTCATGATGCAAAATTCTGTTAAGCGGTTTGGCCTCCCTGTTGCTTTAAATTGCCTATTTCCTCTGAAAAAACGCACCTGCAGCAGAAGTGAGGGCTGTGTTGGGGAGTGTCTGACTCATCGGTAAGCGCAGGTGACACATCCTCTCAAGACCTGCTCCTGCTGGGTTGTTCTCCTGGGGATGCCTGAACTTTCCAAAGTTCCCATTTTAAATGAGAAAACTCTGTTCTAATTAGGGTCTGATCTCTGCCCGTTTCCTAGGAGATGCCATGGCAACTTAAATGCACCCAATGAAAATGAAAGAAACAACTCCAGCTTTGAGCCCTTCCTACCCACGCACAAAACGCACTCATTAAATATTCGCCGGCTGCTGGACACCTTCAGAACCACACTGGCATGGCAGAAACTCATTTTCAGGAAATACCTTTAACTTTACACTAATTATTTGGGTATCATTGGAAAAAGCCGCACAATTTCTTTTGTCCATTTTAGAGAGGGATTGATATTGATAATCAAGGCAGGCCATGCCTTTGATGATAAAAATTGTGTGATCCCCCTATCCTGTATTGTTCACCACACTACCAAAAAAAAGACCCTGCTGCTCAGGAGGGAGCTCAAAAAAAGCATTTTTTTGACTAGACTTAATATTAGCACTAAAAGGCAGGGCCATTCACAAAGGTTAAAATAATTTAATCTCTTCACCTCCAAAAAAAAGTTGAAATGAATTGGTTGGAGGAACCAATAATAAAGGACTGCAATAAATTCAAATAAACCTATGATTTAAACAAAGAAATCAGAACCTGTGAAATTAAAGGTAAATAAGGCG